CCTTTCACGACGTGGAGGCCTGGAGGCAGGGCAGCTCCAGCGTGAATTCCGCCGTCCACTGGTGCTTCTTGGCTGAGATCTTTCTGGAAGCTTCGAAGGTTGACTTCAGTAGGCAACGTACAAACTTAATTATTTACAGGAAGTGATAAAAAATAAAGTCTTCCAACAACTGTAAAGGACAGAACTTAAGTTCAAATGTAAAAAGCTGTCATCTTCGAAGTTTCCGCGAGCTGTGTGTGGGGCCGGGCGCTTCCGGTAGGCTCAGGGGTGCCACCACACGATTTGGTCGCGTGTGGTCACTGGTGCACCAGAGGCAAACCAACCCACACGCCCGTTTCTCTTTCATTGCTGTGTACCTTTGGCCCTGCTCCCTTTGTTCGCCTTGCGGTGGCTGTCGCTGCCACTGCTCCTGCTTTTGCGGCTGCTTCTGCTGCTGCCGCTGCTGTTGCCGGCCTTGCCTTTGTCGCTGCTGCTGCTGCTGCTGCTGCTGCTGCTGCTGCTGCTGCTGCTGCTGCTGCTGCTGCTGCACTTCTTTTGGAGCCTCCGGCTCTTTCCGCCGACCTTGAGGTACCCATCTTCGACTACGGCTTGGTGACGTTCCTGGGCACGTTCTTTCCAGGCCTTGAGTTCTAGGCGCGTGACCCTGGCGGGTGCTCTTCTCCCGCACCTTCTCCTCCCCTGGCGGTTTTGTATTTGTTGATTCTTTTCTGCGGGTGTGCCAGCCTATGGGGTGCTCCCCAATTGTCTTGCGTGCGCGTCTTGTGGGCGCTCACATTCATGGGGTGCCCCCAATTGTTTTGCTGGCGTGCTCACTGGCGCTCTATGAGGCGCTTCCCTACTGTTTCGCGAGCTTGCTCGCTCATGGGGTGCTCCCCAATTCGCTTTCTGCAGGCGACAGAGTGCCCCCTATTGTCCTCATTGCGGGCGCTGTGCGAGGCGCTCTCCCCGGCGCTCCCCAATTGCTTCGCAGGCCTTCCCTATTGGTTTTCTGCAGTGCTTGCGGGCACGCTCAAATACGTTTTTCTGCTGCTGGTACCGCGGGCTGCCCCTTTTGCCAGGCAATGACGTTTACGGAGCCTGGGGCGCTCGGCCAGTCTGAGCTCCAAGTGGAGGGGGCAATGACGGTTCCGGAGCCCCCTGCGAAGCCGGGAGGGATGGCGCCTTAGGCAGGGCCCTGCGCTCCGGCGCAGAGGCTTCTCTCTCCCTCTCTCTCTCTCCCTCTCTCTCTCTCTCCCTCTCTCTCTGTCTCTCTCTCTCTCTCTCTCTCTCTCTTTTTCTCTTTTTCTCTTTTTCTCTTTTTCTCTTTTTCTCTTTTTCTCTTTTTCTCTTTTTCTCTTTTTCTCTTTTTCTCTTTTTCTCTTTTTCTCTTTTTCTCTTTTTCTCTTTTTCTCTTTTTCTCTTTTTCTCTTTCTCTCTTTCTCTTGCTCTCTCTCTCTCTCTCTCTCTCTCTCTCTCTCTCTCTCTCTCTCTCTCTCTCTCTCTCTCTCTCTCTCTCTCTCTCTCTCTTCTTCGAAGTTTATCAACTACAGTTCAAACAACTTACTTTTTTGTCTTTTGCGGTCAAAGGCCAGGGCGTGGAAGAGGTGCAACGCAGCGAGGGAACGCCAGTCATTTGCAGCTAGTATTGGGGGGGGCTGTTGTTTGCTCGGGGCGGTGTCACAACTGCCCGAGGTTACTTGGGATTCGAGCTGCTCTTTATACTGATCTACTGCGTTGAGCTGTGGCTCAGGCAGGAACATAACCCAACGTTTTGCATTGCGACTGCCCATTGTGGCTCCTTGATGACTTGAACCTTTCCGAGCTCTCACCTGAGATCTCCCTGAATCAGATTCAACACAAGGTGGGCGGCATCGGGACTTCGCGGCTGGAACAAGCTGAAGGGCTGGTGCTGCACCACTGGCAAATTGGAAGTGCGAAGTTGGAAGGTCTCATGGAAGCGGGACACTGCGTCGTGGCGGGTCATGGATGGCGCGGTCATCGGGCACGCAGTTGTAATTGACTCGGGGCTAGTCTAATTGTTGGAGAGGTCGGGGTTCCAGAGCCTGTCCATTAATTCTTGGCAAGGGCTTCGGCGCACGGAAGGCCCATACGAACACCACATTTTCTGCCAGGTTATGACATTGTCCTGATTGTCGTCGCTTTTGGTGATGCATGCGTGCCCAGCTTAGGCATCTTTTCTTCTATGAAACGGTTTGGATGCTGCTTTTGTGGATCCACACCTGTAGGATACTAAAAGAGTACTAAAGGAGTACTAAAAAAAGAACCTACAGGGAGAAGAACAGGTGAAATCCACAAAAAGCACATCCAAACCGTTTTAGACGTCTGGCTTTGCAGAAAGGCTCTTGAAGATGACGTTTTCTACGGTAGGTCAGGTGGTTGCAAAGGACGGGTTGGCCTGGAATGGGGAAGGCTGCGTTGAGTGCCGGGGAGGAAGCATTGCGAGGTCAGAAAGCCTTGAGTCAGGCTGTTGTTGGATTGATTCTTTTGGCAGCTTGACCAAATATGAGGTGCTCAACTTCATCCCGAATGCTCAAGTTCAAGCTGCTCACCATATTGTGGCCTCCTCAGGCTTCAGGGCCGGCAAAAGGTTTTGTGGCCACAAGGGTTCAAGCAGCGGGTTGCAGCAATACACGGCATGTGGTTGCACAAAGACCCGGCTGCTGCGTTGCCGCCTCATGTCTCAGGTGTTGCTTTTGGCGCCTGCCTTTCTGATTCTTCGGCTGGGGCGGGTCGTGGTGCCCTCAGGGGCTCCGCCCTACCCACCAATTGGCATGGAAGCTGACAGGGGGTCCCTTTGGGAAAATGGTATTTGAGGACCCCTCTGTCAGGTTCCATGTTAGTTGGCAGCTGAGCATTTCCAATTCCTGGACAGTTGCAAGGTGACTGAGCTCCGCATGATTATCAAGGGCATCTTGAGCCTTTTCGAATGCTGGAATTCGCCCCCCCCCCCCCCCCCCCATGTGCGACTCCCATGTGCGACTCTGCGGTGGTGTTCATGGCGAACTAAGGAGAGCCATGCGCAAGGTGTTTTGGGCAATGATGCTTCTGACACTAGCCCTTTGTCAAACAATTCTATTATTTTGTTGGCAGCGGGCAGGCAAGGTGATTCAAGTTTTATGGGCTTGGGAGAACATGAGTGTCATACAAGTTTTTGATTGGCATTTGGTGAGGTCATCTACTTATTTTCCGTCTTCAGCGTGTTCTACATCGGGGAGCTGTTCAAAGAGGACAGCATCCGCCTGGAACTGTTCGGCTCCATGGTGGAGGCGATGTTTACCATGCCGGGGGCCTAGACAACGACACCGTTTGAGCCGGCCGCGGTAAAATTTGGCTCTGGGTCAAAAATGGGTACCCAAAATAGAAGCCTGGGAAATTGAGCCAAGGACTAAAATCTGCGGTCCCCTGGTGGTTTAATTTTGACCCACACCCATTTAAGCTTTGGGTTGAATTTTACTGACCTGTGTTGGGTGAGTGTCTGTAAGAGAGGGGGAGGTTGATGAGACCAAGCGCAGATGATACGCCTCAGGCACTTTCTTTGGACTTACGCACGATGTTCTTGGTCAGGTTCTCGGCGCATCGACTGTTATTCTTTGAGAAAAGGTCTTGTGATGTCTTGTGGGTCAGTCTCTTGAGTTGCTGGACGGCCAGAAGGTGCTCGCAACCCTGCTTTATAAAGGCTACAATAGGCCCAATTTGTTGTTGAGCGAGTTGGGTGGATCCATTGGCAAACACTAAATGTGGACGTTCTATATCAGGGTGAGCAGCTGTACTCTATTTCCCCCAAGTTGCCACTTTGTTTGCATGTGGGCCATTTGTCTCACCATCTTTGACCTTGCGGTTTCCTTTAAGCACCTTAGACGTTTCACCGGCTGCCTGCAAGCTCTTGTTCTACACTGAGGTAGGCGATGGTACCAAACAAAGTTGGAGTGGATCGATTCCCCCCAGCCGTCCCGCGGAATTTTCCAAATCTTCCGGTGGAAACTGGGCCGAGGTTCGCATTTGCAACGCTGGAAGACTACACCACGCCAGTGCGCCACTTCATGCGCAGTGGAGGTTCTGGTCTCGTTGTGGCGGCTTGCGCCTTGCCAAGACTTTAACGACTTAATTCAGTGCATTCATTTGGCCATGAATTTTCGTAGGGAACTTCCTCGAGCCTCAACTGTGGTTGGTGGACGTGAATCCCCGCCTAGATGGTGTCCGCCAAAGCGTGCCTGATCAAAATGTTGCCCATGTGTCTTTAATAAGGTGGCTAGCTTAAAACAGCCAATACCACGAAGCCATCATGTGGGATTACGACTGGGCGCCTCTAAGTCGGAATCCATGCTGGCTAATAAGTAGTGGCGTGAGCTTTGCGTGTTTTGCACCGGAATGCCAAATGAAGGTTGAGGTATGAGGTGCAAGCCTGCCAAAGCGGCTGGCCATACCAATCTGCAAATCATGGCTGGCTTGCATTTACTGTAGGCCTCGAAGCAATCATCCTAAAGACGCGGGAAGTATGCAGCATCGGCAAACGGGTGAGATGCTTAGGTGGTTCACCAGGAAACTGCAGCCAGCAAAGCATGCTATTGTTGGTCAGCTAGGTTCTGCAATGGATGCTAGAAGCAACGGGATGGCTTGAATTGTTCCGACTGGCTGATGTGCACAATGAGACACAGGGATGCTAGAGTTCGAGGGGGACGCAGTTACTTACGCAGAGGACATCTCGAAGTCTTCACTTCTTTGTGCGTGTCTTTTTTGGATGGTACCCTGTTTGCGGCTGGTGTAACAGGACACCTTAAAGGGACACACCATAAAACCGAGACACCCATGACATGTAACACTCACCTCCGCGCGGTGGCTGACTATCTTGTTTGACGAAATGCAGTGCTTGAGTCCTGAGGCATCGTTGTATTCATCCTCTTTGCGAACCTGTCCTTGCTGAACCTTGTGACGGCCATCATGGTCGAGAGCATTGTAGATATCCTGCCGCCCGCCTGAAGTTTATCCGGCTGGGACGGCTTTGGCCATGTTTTGATTTTCATCACCCTGAAGCCGTCCAACTCGTTCATGTTGTGAAGCTGACTGAGGCCAAAGAAGCGACACTTGGCCGCACCGCGCGCAAGAGCCTGGCATTTGGGTTGCAGCTGTGTCGGATTTGCTCCGTACTGCTATCGACAGGGTGCGAGAAGCTGAAGCGAGAGCAAGCCGCCCTGGTGAGGAAGATGACGGCGATGTTCAGCAAGCTAGATGCTCGCCGTAAGTGCTTCGCGTCGGGATCTTTGCGAAGGCTCCAGGCCATGCCAACATCTTGGTCTGTTCAAAGGTAATCCTTGATCCGTACCTTCGGTTCCGCAAGGAACCGGTCCCTTTGACAGCGGCTTCCCTACAGGGATGGAAACTCGGCTTGGCCCAGCCGAGCCATTTGGGACAGGCAACATCTTCCGGTGAGCCGCCGTTGCCGCCAGCATCGCGTTGAGGACAAAGACCAAAACCGGGAGCTGGAGCTCGGCGAGATGAGGGAAGCTGTAAATGACCCAGAGGTGAAGGAGGAGCTGAGGAAGCTGCAGACGCCTGGCTCTGTCCCAAATGTCACGGACCAAGGGGGGCGATTTGGGGGGGAAGCTATCTAGGAGAAGAGGTTCATAAGGGATCCCCCTCCCCAGAGAGCCCCCCCCCGCCTGAGGATCCATAAAATGAAAAATATGAGTCCCTGAGAGAATAGCAAGTGGTCGCCAGTTGTTAATGCGCAGTTTGGCACTGGGCCGCATGGAGATGCGGAGAAGGAAAGGAGAACACTGCTCGCTCAAGTTGCATGCGAGAGGAGAGGGCCTGTAGGACCTTGAAACAGTTCCATCGATTCTGGGTCATCCTTCTGAAATGTCTCAGGCGCACTTCAATGGCGTCTGATCGCTTAGGATTGCGGAAGTTGATGTTGACGGCTGCATTGACGAGCTCTTCGCGCTGATTAACTTCACAAACTCCCGCCACATGGAGACATAGCGCTGACAAACTCTCGCGTTCAGCCCTGTGAAGCTGGCGCCACTGCCCGCAGCTCGCCCAGGCGGGATCCAGGTGGAGGAGTTCATTGATGGGCTGCTCCGGATGAGCTCAGCCCCTGCGAGCAAAAGAGAGCTGCTGGAAGTGCAGTGTGACATTCACAAGGCCTGGCAGCTCAGCGAAAGAGGGATTCTTTTGCCATGGCATTGTCTTGCCAGAGCTCAGGGAATGAGAAAGTCCCCTCCAGTTGGATGGTTCTTAAGGGTCATTCCCTCATTCCCTGAGCAAAAGTTGTTTGTGTTTCTTGCGCTTGTTGCATCTCAGGAACATGTTGGGGGCTGGCCAGGACTCGAGCGCAGTGCAGCCGTTTTTTCTTCTCCTGTTTGTCGCCCAATCGCGCAGGATGACCTGGTACACCTGCTGCGGGGCTTGAAAGACCTGCCACTGCAGTTGACATGCCTCACAGAGGAGGCCGTCGGGGCTCGTGCGCGATCCCAAAGCGCGTGAAGGGATGACGGGATGTTGACCTCCTGGCCTTCGAGAAATTTGTGTTGGGTAAACCCCGCCTTTTCAAGATCTCGGACTTTGAGAAGAACTCCGGCCCAAAGCACCGACTCAACCTCGCGCCCAAGCCAACGGGTCAACGGGTCAACGGGTCTCGAGAGAAGGCGCTTTGGAGCCTCGCAGGTGAGATGTATGCGAGATGCTTGCCGCCTCTGCCTCACGGAGCGCGACCGCTTGGCACAGCCGCCATGGCCGCCTAAGATGTTTGCGGGGGGAGGACTTGCTCTTGCCGTGAGGTTGTCTTCCCCTTGGTTTCCATTTCACTTTGGTCAACCACCCAAAAAGGGATACCTTTATAGGTGCCTTTTGGTCTTTCTGGATATTTCCTTTTTTTCTTGCTGGCGCGATAGGTAGGGAATTTCTTGTTGAATGGACCGGTTGCGGGGAATCCCGAATAAAGGAAATAGGGGATGTTTTGCTTAGGGGTCATTCCAGGTCTCACCCCCCGCTGAGCACCAGCAAGTTTAGTATGACTCACGGAACCCAAAGACGACCTGAAACGACCGTTTGGTTACTGGTTGGCCCCTTCTTGGACCATGTCCCAAAAGGTTGTATTTGTATTATCGTGTCCAGGTCCTTGGGGCAAGTAAGGTAATGTTGACCCCGGAATAAACCAGCCCTGTTAAAAGGCGATGCATCCATTTCCACCAAGTGCAGGGACACCCGACCCCTCCGCCCATTGGACACCTGGATCTGGGTGGTTTAGAACTCCTTGAGGTCCTTGGCACAACGGCTGGATGCTGTCCTGCTGGAGGTCCAGACATCGAATCAGCAGGCAGACCACTGGAAGCTTCAGGCGGAGAGTGCCTTCTTGTTAAACCGCGTTTTGAAGGTCGCTTTGTCATTCTTTGGACATGGTGCGGGCTTCTCGGATTTCGTTGGGTTCAGCCCTGACAAGGCTGGGGCAGAGCCCGACACACGCCTCATGGAGACTTGCCTCCAGGAGGCGGGCATGGTTTCTCCATGACGCCCAGTTCGACACTTACGAATCGGAAAAAGCAATGGAACGACTCATTGCTATTGACTCACTTGTCCAAGGCGAATCGACCTTTTTACCTTCTGGTTTCCCAAGTTGGGTTCCCATTTTTAGTCATGGCAACCCAAAAGGTGATCACCTTGTATTTTCAGGTCCCTCAGGGCAACTGAGTTGAACCATGGTTTTGCTGATTGCTTGATCCATCGGGACAATCCGCCCCCAATGGCTCGTCAGGCTCAGCAGAGACTTTTTGAGCTGGCTGGCACCATGGAGACGCGCATGGCGTCTTGGCGCCGTCGAAAAGGACGGGACGAATTGGCCCATTTGGGTATGTCCTTTTTTGGGGTACCCCGCCAAAGGGTGGGTTTTCTCTTTGGTTTTTCTTGCAAACCAACCCCCAAACGGGTACCAAACAAGACATACACATTTTCATAGGCGCGTGCATGCATTTCAATTTCCTCAGACGACACGCTCATAAGCTTTGAGTTGCAACCCTTGGAATCACACGTGTCAGGCTTGTAGCGTTTTTCACCGTGCGGTTTCGCAGAGAGGTTCAGACCCAGAAAATCGAGGGCACCTAAAATTATTCAACGCGCAGTGATACGAAGATGGGCCCACTGCCCGAACGAAACTGATTGCAGCATGTGATTTGCATTGCCACACGCACACGCACATGTGCTGTATGTATGTACCTAGTTGAGCTTGGCATGCTTGTGTGAAAAGTTGCTAGTGCAACATTCATGGCGGTTCTATTTTTCTCCCAAAACGCATTCCCGGTGTTCGCCTCGGAATGTAGGTTTGGGCTCAAGTTGAATTTGCCATGCTGATGTTGTGCCTTGCGGCACCTGTTTTCTTCGATACGTCACTGCCTTTGGCCAAGGTTCAGCTCTTGGATGACATCCATGCGCTGCCAGGCTGCACTCAAGCTGAAGGCCAACCACCGGATGCTTTGAGGTGAATGGGATCAAGGTTTGCACCTGCAATGCCTACCCTCCCTTAGGCGATTCCATGGAAGCTCCGAGGACCCCTTTAAAAGACTTTGTTCCATTTACAGAGGCCTTCTGAGAGCTTCCATGTTCGCCTGAGGGAACTTGCCACTTGCCATGAGATTCTGCCCCCCCTTCCCGATTCCCGGAGAGGTGCTTGCGGTAGCCGCCGGACCTGAGGCAGTCTGCGACCATGGGCCAGACGCAGCACTCCCTAACCGCGCGTATCGACGAGTTCGAGATGGAGCTGCAGGCCTTGAAGAGCTGCCGAAAGTGACCGCAAGCGCGCGACTTGCGAGTGCATGTGCAGACTCAAGAGCCAGACACCAAGCAAAAATGAAGGGATGTTGGACTAGCAGAGGGCAGAGGGCAGCGTATCAAATTCGTGGTTTGCTTGAAGTTGTGTGTTTGCCTGTCGCAGGCAGCCAGGCCACAGACAAGCCCAGAAGGCAACCACAACCTGAGACACATGCAATCTTTGCCGCTGCCTGGAAGATTTGTCGGAAGGAATGATCCCTGAATTTCGGTTGATCGCTTGTCATTTGTCTCAGAGAGAACTAGCTTTCAATTAGTTGCCGCAACACGGAAGTTCCTTCTAAATTTCCCTTGATTAGTCTAGCAGAATCCAGGGTACTCTTGCAAGTGGCAGGCTCGCAGTGAGAAGATGCAGCCGGAAGCGAGCAAGTTGATGATGATCCTTGGGCTACAGCCCGGGCTTCGATTCCCTGGTTTGCGCCATACACTCGTCCACATGTTTGCGGGGGAATCTTTTTCATTAGGACCTGCTCCAGGTTCGGGTTTTAGTGACCTGCCGGGTGTTCATGCAAGGTTGCTATTCTGAACCTTCTGGCCACTGCCGGGTCGTGCATGTCGTTGCTGGGCGGACTGTGTTTCGTTCACCTCTGAAGTTGTTGGCTTTGTTGGCTGAATTTCGAGCCGTGGTGCTTGGAGAAGTTGGCGCTTTTGTCTCTCAAGAAACCATTTCTTAAAGGCCCGCCGGCGTCGTACGGCTCTGGCCATGTTGTGTCAGTTTCAGCGCGACATTGCTATGTCGGATTGCGATCTCAGGAGCTCCGAAACGCAAACTCAGCCGATGTCCGAAAACAGCAACGACTCCAAGCATGCGAGCCGCCACTGCGAGGATACCACCATACAGGTGCCATGGCTGCCTGTATGTTCGTACAGCTTGTCATCGCAGTAAGTCAGTGGCAGCTAGTTCAGGTTGGGCATGTGACTGCCATTCGGGCGACATGTAATTTTTCAGGCATCACCTTCTGCCATGCACAGCCTGCCCAGCCTGCCGAACCTTTCCACTGTGCATCTTGGCCCATGCCGCGCCCATGTCGACCTCGCATGGCTTGATGGCCACGGCCGCTTTGGTTTTTTTCTCCGAGGCTGGGGCTGCATGCAGCCCTGCAGGCGCGGGTTGGGACTTGGGCGGGACGGCTCCGCGTGAACTTTTTGGCAGCACAGGACATGCACTGGTCCTGCCCAGACATGGTGGGGCCCCCGTCCAACGCCGACTTCAAGGTGCGCTCGCGGTGTCGTTGATGAGAGCTTGAGGTTCGGAGTTTGGCACGGGTCACATTGTTGCATCATGGTGTTTCTATCAGGGAACCCTTAGCCACCAAACCAGCGGGCTCCAACAAACCACTTGGAGGGAAGCGGATGAGATGCTGTTACGAACCGCGAGGTGCGAGTGGCCAGAGTGATGCAGTGGGTCCAGAAGCAGCAGTGGCTGCACTTACCCTTCGACAAGCTGATCCTGATGCTCAGCTTGCAGATAGTTTGGCCAGGGAGGTGAGCCCGAAGCCCCGTTTTCTGCACTTTTGCCTTTGTCTCCTATTGTATTGCGTCAGCCCTGCATGCGCGGATTGCTTTCCGGCATGTGCGACTTTTTAGTTTGGCCGGAGGTTGGCACGTTTGCATCAGGAAACTGGAGGCAACTGGAATTCAGCTGAGTGTGGCGGAGCAAGACCTGCTCAAGCGCTCCTCATTTGCAGGAATGATGGACAGCTCGCACGGCCAAGAAGTGCAAAGCTCTGTCAACCCTGGCCTTGAATGCCAGGAGGTTGGCTGAGTGACGTTACATATTTTGGTGTTCGCTTGGTCAAATGTGTTGCCCCACACTGATGTCAACGCATATGTGCGAGGGTAAACTTAGACGTGGCCAAGCACGTTCAGAGGAGATGGCACATTCGGAGAGCTACTTGCCAGCATGCCTTGCGTGAGACGAGTGCCAAGGTTTGCTGATGGGGACCGTCATTTATCCAGCATGGTGATGCTGACTGTCCAACGCTTTTACTGTCGGGCCCGGCCCTCCCAACAGATGTACGGGTATGGGACAGTCCTGCCGACCAGTAATGCACATCTACCATCAACCTTGATATTGCAAAACCAGTCCCATTCCCAAGCCATCGCGTGGCTGAAAATGGCCATGTGTGACAATTGAGTTGCCAATGAACCTGGTAGCTTGCCAAAGGATCGCAAGCAAAATGTAGGATTGCGGTGCAGAGGAAAATGATGGACCCCCAGACAAGCAGCAGCTTTGGGACGCTTCGGATGCTTTAGTAGACGTCATTTATATGGGGCATGATGTCCACGGACCATTTTGAGGGTGTTCCCCAGCAATTTTCATTGCTACTTTGGTAAGAGCCTCGGCGGCATGTTTTCGTGAGGCACAGGCTTTGTTTGATCCGCTCCGAGGCTCTGACAGCGCGCAGGTAACCGAAGAGGCGCTTAGCTCAGGCGATCTGATGAATCTCATGGGACATGCGTGCTTTCTCCTTCGCGCCTGCATGTCCCAAGTTGGATGGGGATGAAGGTTACCCTCCCTCCAACAATCATGGAAGACGGGGGGGGCTTCCCCAAAGGAAAGTAGTTTCAAATACCCTCCTGTCAGCTTCCATAGAAGCTGGGTGTGTCTTTCTCAGGAGAACCCGCCCTCAACAAACACAAGTTCTTTTTTTGGCCTTTGAAAATCCGCAAGAAAACGGGTACCAACTCCAAGAAAGGAACCATACCCAGTGGGATGGGGATGATAGACATAGCCTCCCTGAGGCAGCTGCCGCACTCCAAGGGCCCTTGGTGGCGCCAATGCCTGGTGCAGGGAGCCTACCGACCAAGACAGCCGAAGTGGAACAGCTTGGCGGTTGGAACATGTTTTTAGGTTTTTTTTGGTTCTGTTCATTCTTAGGGGGCTGCCAAAAAGACAGCTTTTTCCACCATACGCTTGGTAAAAAGAACAGGGAATCTTCCAAAACCCTCCGGTCAGCCATCATCCCCCAGTTCTTGATGCCTGCATTGAAGTTGACTGACAAGTTAACAAGCAGCCTGTGGCTGCTCTCCGCCGATGTGAAAACTCTGGCATCAGCAGTGTCATGTCTAGTGGCGCGAGTCCAGCGTGCCAAAGAAAGTGAAGGATTGCTTGCCCGCCGGCCAAACCTCAAGCTACCCCAAAATTCCGGCTGGTTGATGACTCTTGTGATTGCGAGGCCTGGCTTTGTGCGACCCGCAAATACGTGCTTGCCCGGCGCCCAGTAAGGAAGGATATTTGTAATCACTTGTGGCTTTCGGCTCGGGGGCAATGGCAGAAAATTGACCGCACGGATTTTCAGAAGCCTGAGCTTTCTGCGCTTCACAGCCAGTTGGCAAGTTTCGCGCTTTACCAATCGGCGCTTCCCGAGGTCACTGCTTTTGATGCTGGCCGGGGTCTTTGTTGTGAGCCAAGTCTGTGAAGCGTCGCACTTCCTCGTGAGGCATGGACACCTCTTTCGCCCTCAAGGCACAAGTGCAACATGTGTGTTCCTCCTCACCCGCCCTCAACCAAAATAGGAGCTTCAGGTTTGAAGACCACCAAAAAAACAAGTTTTCCTCTTGGCCTCCCTTGAAAACCACTTAACAAAAAACGGGTACCGAAAGAACTTCCTGGCCCCCAGTTTTGACCAGGGCAACCTTTCCCATGTAGTTGACATATCAAACACATGTTCCTTTTTTTCTCTCTCCAGCCAATGGTCATCCCATGTTCATGGGACCTTTTGACAACTTCTTGCCAGGTTTGCATCGGAGTTGTGGAGCATCTTCTCTCAGAGGGCCACTAGCGCGAGCGAAACGCAGACGCAACAAAAAGCGGGCGAGGCTTTGTTGGGCTCAACATGCATAGCTTCCATTTGCTGAAATGAATACTCTTCATTGTTCCTTGGTGGTTTTGAAGGGAATCTGTCACTAGAGGAAATATATGTTCTTTCCAGGGGGCTTAAGCAAATGGGGATAAAGCATGGGGCAGGCAAACAGCATGCGATGCCGATGGGCGAGAATTGGGAGTTCCTTCCTGATTCTTGGAGAAGGGTTGCACTTGTCCCAGATCGAGGCTGCAGGAGTTTGACCAGCTTTGCCCAAGATGCCAAGCCAAAGCCATCGACCATTTAGACCGGAAAGAAAGATCTCACATGTCCCATGACTGGCTTAGTGAAAGGAGACGGCCCCACAATGTCTCTTCAGAGGTTTCATCCGGTGAAGCTCAGACACGGCCTTGGCAACGGAGAGTGTCACAATCCTGCCTTGGTATGCTGAAGGCGGTCAAATCAGCCAGTTGGAATCATCGCCAGAAGGAGCTGTAGACTCGGTAGGAAGCCAGCATCAAATTCACCCGAAAAAATACACCTAGAGCTTAGCCTTCCCATGAAGCAGCAGCCATGCTCCGCGCATGCCTCGGAGCATCTCTCATCCACGGCCAGATTGTAGGAGAGAAGCCGGAAAGCTCAGGATCCTGGCCGCTGTGGGCCTTGCCTGGTGCGGTGGCCTTCACATGCTACCCAGAGTGCGCCGTAGATGTTGTTCCGCTGCATGTTGCAAAGTTGCACATGGAGAGAAAGTGCGGTTAGTTGCTGTGAACTTGAGGTACTCCTTCTCCTGGTGTGACAACACCACAGAGGCAATGAGAGATATAATTGAAATGTCTACCTTCAGCATTGGACCTGTAACATGCAGTGCGGCAGATGGATGTTTGATGCTTTGCTTGTTCAAGCATCGCAACATCAATGCCTACAGCCCATGACTGCAGGCCTCCTGTATCCATAACTATGCCTTCTCGGACTGGAGCCCAGATTTTGGATGTGTTGCCGTGGCTTTCCTTGGCTTGAGAAGGGAAGCCCAAGGTGGGTCATTTCCAGAGGCACTGGAGCCATGAGGGGGGTTTGATGGTGACAAGCTGTCGCCAGGAAGCTGACAAGCTATTACTTCCACAACCAGCGGCCTCCTCTCACGGAGGCAGTCTTCTTGACTCGTCTGCCCAGGCACGCCTGAGACTGGCCGTTTTGTCCGCTTGCCTTGGCCACTTAGGCCATACCAGCAAGAGTTTATGTCGGGCGGGTGCGCTGTGCCAAACTTGGGTGCGGCTTGGAGCGTTGCATCCACTGCCCGGGGGCTCATGCGCCATCCTTGAAGATCGCAGCCGCCATTTGCATGCGGCATGCAATCGCAACAAACAAGACATCAAGAACAGCTCCAGCAAGGGCAGCGTTTTGCCCAACGACCGCAACCCGGCATTGGCACACCAGGCATCATAGCCAGTCTGTCGCTTCGGGGCTTTTGTACGCTTCCATCATCGAAGCAGGATTTAACACACCGCCCCCCCCACCCCACCCACCCACACACACACACACACACACACACACACACGCTGGCACAAAGATATTGTATTTGAAATAATTCATGGCTGCACTTGGGTCATGGCCAGGGCTGCTCTTCTGCCTGGTCAGGGCACAGGCCGTGACCGAGATCCTGGAATGCTCAGGGCCTTGGTCATCTCTGCGCGGGGAGCTTCATCACTTGGTCAGCCGTCCAGAGATCCGCGACGAAGCAGCTCTGGTCCAGAAGGCGCAGGTGGTGTCTGACGACTTTTTGAATCACCTGGAAACCGGAGACTTTGATGACTGTGTCTTGGGCCGTGCGGCCCTCCACATCGTAGAAGCCACCCGTGGCAAGGAGGTACCGCAATCGGACTTTCGGCTTTTCAGCGCTTTGGGATGGCCTGCCTTGTTAAGCTCAGGGTGGCCCATCTTCCAGCTGCTCTACTTGCACAGGCACCTGCCCGCGACGCAGCATGATCCTTGCCTGAGTGCCGACTATGCAGGCGTTTTGAGCGAAGCGCTGGCGCACCGGCCGGCAGGGATAGGCTTGACGGCGAGCAGCTTGTCCTTCCTCTTAACACCGGAGTCGCTTTCTTGTCCTTCGCTGGCGGCTGCGGCCGTTTTGGCTTTGGCCTGGGTCCGGCTGCCGCTCTACGACGTGGAGACCGAGGGCTTGGTGTTGCAGGCGCAGCGCAGGGTGGAGGCCGCGCAGGTGTCGCTCCCTTCGGCTGCCGGGCACCCGCTACTTGCCGTGGCTGCACGACTGGCAGCGGCACGACAATTGGCCCAGCACTTGGCTATGCCGGAGAGGGAAGAGATGGAGGAGGGATTTTCAATATGTGCGTGTGTGTGTGCGTGTGTGCGTGTG